TCAGCTCTACTTACTATTGATATGAAACTCTCTATAGAATCCTTCCAAAGAAATTAGATTAGAAAAAAATAGAGGATAAACAATGTTCTTTCCAGTTGTGAGAGTTAGAAGCATATAATACAACAATTTATCATCAATTAAAGCATTGCTTCAAATAATGACTTTCTTTTGCCTGTATCTAATATTTGAACTAGTCCTAACCAACGCAAGTTTACAGAGAGTTAGCTCAGTGGAAAATCATAAGAACCAGAGTTTTCATATCAGGAAGCAATCTAGAGAAGAAGTCTTGTTGGAAAGGTCTATTTGCCACTGACAATGCACAGCAATGGAATAGATAGATTCATAGTCTGACTGAGTATAGGGAGATTAGCAGAGTTCCCATGACCATTGAATTACTGCAACAGACAGCTGCAGCTGTGTGTATAGAGAGGCTTCCCAGTCAATCGAGGATAGTTTACACTTGAGCCCTGGCACCTGTTTTATTTATATAGAAGCTAAGTATGCCTGCAGTTCTGAAAATGCATCTGTCCTGCCCTTTAAGGACATCTCAGTGGTCATCTGGGTAGTTGCTGAGCTATCATGCAGAACGTTTCACAAATAGGGAAACAGTGGGGATGGGGGCAGACGGAAATTAAAAGCAAGCAGTTTTGTAGCAGGGGTCTTCATTCTCTTTTCCAGCTTATGAGAGCTGCCTGCTGTTTCCTCCTAGTCTCACTCCTTCAACCCCCCGCTGCTACCTGCTTGCTAAGGCATTTTCTCCTGGCATGGAAGAGAGAGTCCAGATATTGAGACAGGAGATATGCAAAGGACACCCAGGATGCTGTAGAAAAGCAGTAAAATAGTAACAGGGAAGTCTGTAAGATAAGGATATTTTATCCATGATGTTTCTCAATTATCTTTTACTTTGGATCATATCCTATGCTTTTTCTTATAGTTCTAGATGTCATTTTATTGATTGGTCTCACCAACATAAATTTTTCCAAGTCTGCACATGTGGAACTCCAGTATGAAATAATATAGGGGGGGCGGGGGGAGAGGAGAGAGAGAGAGAGAGAGAGAGAGAGAGAGAGAGAGAGAGAGAGAGATGTGCCCTTCCCATTTTGATGCTCACATGGAATTTAGAAACTCAGGTCCACAGGGCTCGCTAAGACAAATTGTGTTTTTAATTATTACGTTCCTTACATGTTTTTGGAATTTATTTTAAATTGGAGGGTATATCACCTTGGGGCTATGCTTATCTTGAGATAATTGAATGTTCACTTGCTAATATACTCTCTCATTCTTCTATATACTCAGGGTAGATGAAAATGCATGTAGTCCTGTCTCGGAGCCAAAATATAACATTTTTCCTTCTCTTTTTTCTTATCCCTCAATTTGATTATGCAATCTGTAAATTTATGTAATGGCTTCAAAGTTACTCTTTTTCTCTCCTTTCCTAAAAATAAATCTGGGAGTGAGGTCTTTTGATCAGGATTTACTGCCTCAAGGAAAGGATGTGAGCAAGAATTCTGTTTCATACACTTCCCAAAGCCCTTGTTCTTCTTTTCAGACTGTATCACCATTCAAAACAATTAACACATTAAAGTCACATAATCTTTCCTACCGAATGCTTTTTTAAGTGATTATGAAAAGAAGGGGGAGAGGGGGGGATCTGCACAACAATAGGTCTGCTCATTGTTGCTGAACTTCCTACAGCAAGGACTTCCAAAATTAACAAAGAGCTGAAACTTTACGCAACTGTTGGGATTACAATTCCTCATAAGGATGCAGGAGTAATATAATTCTGAGCCTTCCTTTAAAAGCAATCTAATACAGCACTCTGAGCAGAGCTCAGTTGCCATAATTTTCATAATGCCATGAATATAGTACCATTCGTGGACATACTGCAAAATGTAAATAGTAGACTGAGCCAGCCATTTGGTACTGCTTCTCAATATTTTTGCTGACTTCTATTCTTCCTTCCTCCCTCTATGAGGGAGGGAGATGATTTCTCAATACTCTGTTTTGATCTTGATGCACTATTAAAGCCACATTGAGAGGGTGGAGAATTTGAGCTACATTTGCTAGAAGTGAAAATTGGCCACCTCCACCGCACTGTCTTAAGTTAATATGGGTGGCCAGTTGCCAGAGAAAGTAAGTGGTCTTTCTGCCTGACTTAGAAGAAGACAGAGGTAATTTTATCAGCCCTGATCAACACTACATGAGGCAGAGACTCCAGGAGGCACCAGATTTCACAAAAAGAGGCCAACAGAACTGGCTTCCTTAGAGTTCCTTGAATGGGAGCACTCTAGAACATTGCCTCATCTGCCCCTTATGGTAAGGACACAACAGATTGCTAATGCCTCGGATCTCGCTAACAGTGCTAGACTTTTCCTTGACAGTTTTCTGCTGAAGAAGTAATCCTCTCCATCTCCCCCACACACAAAAATTTTCCCCTCGCTAAGCAAAGCACAAACCTCCAGCATCAGCAGCTTATTAAGGGGAGCTGGCAAATAAGCACCTCCAGACGCAAGACAGGGTTCACCTCGGGCCGGGGCTCTGCCAGTGCAACTTCCTCCATTTTAATAGTTTAATAAAAATTAGCATAATTAACGAACATCTGTATGATCCAGAGCGGTGCAATTTGGCACTTGGAAACGAGAGCTTAAACATTATTGCTGGGAGTTTAATGTTGTTTTAATTCTTTTTGGCACAGTGCAGGGAAATAAAGCACCAGTGCCGATGGTTCTCGGCTTGTGCTCATTTGCATTCCATTCTTCCTTTCTTGATTATGAGCAATCGCCAGCTCCCCAGCAATCCATCAAAGCTGAAATTGTTTTAAAATACCTCACGGTGCTCGGGCCAAGGCAATGTATGGAAAATGGATTGGGTCTTAATCTTTGCTTTGCCATCCAGCCATATAGTGCCGTTACCTTTTCTCTGCGACTTCCTCCAATCTTGGATTTCACTTACACACACATGGGTTGGTTCATGATTAAAGTCTGGTGACTGGAGTAGAATGTGCGAATAGACTTAGCTGAAAACCATCATGCCTGAAAGAACATCAGGTGAGATGAAAGATGTGCGTATCTGTGCCAATTAATCTGTAATGACTCATTTGCCAAGTTGGTTGCCATGTTATGAATCAACAAGTGACGAACATAGATGCCTAGAAACAACCCATAATGTTTATGCTAGTGACTGGTGAAATAAAACTTGTGTGGAAACTTCCTTTTCTTTTGGTGTTTCATTTGTACTACCTGTATGAGGGAGATGGATCTGAAGAGAAAACCCTCTGAACATACTCAGATGAACTCTCATATTGACCATTATGTCAAATATCATTGTAGCTATTCAAGGAGCAAATTGCAGAGCAGCATAATTTCACCATTAACCAGCAATTTTTAGGAATATATTCTCACAGGCAGGAAGAAATCCAGTGGTAAAAATGCCACAGATGAAAAGGCCATCACAAATAGAGTATTTCTTTATTTGGGACTTTGGCCATAGAACAGTATATATGATTTTACATTCTGTTCTTTTAGCCTGCAGGTGGAGGAATGTATGGTTGGATTTCTGAAAAATTCTTTTCTCATAGAAAACTAATATATCAGGGTGTAGTCTGGTTTACACTGTTTCCCTAACATGCTTACTCTGTGTGCAGATAATTTTATCTATACAGGACAATAACTTGCAGTACTATGCTCTAAGAAAAGCATTATTTATGCATCTGGTGGTAATGTAAACTTATTCCATTTTGCTCTTTTATTATTTGAAGAATTGCCCTTTTTTTCTAAAATGAAAATTTCCAAATATATGCTTCTGAATCTGATATATAAAGTTGACTACATATAAATGGACTTGGGCTGGAGGCCATGGCTAAAACTAACTCTGGTGATATCATTCCTGTTATATTCCCTTTGAAGGAATTTATGTTTGCTGTTGTGTAAATCATAACCTAGAAAGCCAGTTTGACCTAATGGTTAAGACACCAGGCTAGAAACCAGGAGAACATGAGTTCTAATCCTTTGGCCCATAGCAGCCAGATGACTTTCAGCCAGTCATTCTCTCTCAGCTCTAGGAAACAGGCAATGGCAAACCATTTTTGGAAATTTCATAGAAAATACAGTTTTCCACAAAAACTGTAGGATGAGTCCAGACAATTGCCAGAAGGCAATGCTGATTCAAAGGTACTAAAAATTGTTAAAATATCATTGGTTAGTTTATTTCAGACCTGAGGAGAAAGCCTAGAAAAATCATTCTCCAGTAAGCCTCTTAGGGAGTTCTGGCAGTAAAAGCAATACACAATCCAAACAACCCTTTGACATGATTTTTTCCCATCCATTTGGTCATCACAATGTAAAAAAGATGTGGAGACTCTAGAAAGAGTGCAGAGAAGTGCAACAAAGATGATTTGGGTTCTGGAGGCTAAAACATATGAAGAACAGTTGCAGGAACTGGGTATGTCTAGTTTAATGAAAAGAAGGACTAAGGGAGACATGATAGCAGTGTTCCAATATCTCAGGGGCTGCCACAAAGAAGAGGGAGTCAAGCTATTCTCCAAAGCACCTGAAGGTAGGACAAGAAGCAATGGATGGAAACTAATCAAGGAGAGAAGCAACTTAGAACTAAGGAGAAATTTCCTGACAGTTAGAACAATTAATTAGTGGAACAACTTGCCTCCAGAAGTTGTGAATGCTCCAACACTGGAAATTTTTAAGATGTTGGATAACCATTTGTCTGAAGTGGTGTAGGGCTTCCTGCCTAAGCAGGTTGTTGGACTAGAAGACCTCCAAGGTCCCTTCCAACTTTGTTATTCTATTATCCCCATATTTAGACAATATATATGGAAATGGATAATATTTTGGCCTATTTAAAAATTTTAAAAATTCTATTAAAAAGACAGGTGGTGGAAAGAAGTATGCATAAAATGATCTGTGCCAGAGACAGAAATCTTACCCCTATCCATCAAGTCCCTATACTCCATTATTTCATGAGTGCTACTGATGCTTTCTTTCCAGGAATATAACATGTACGGTTGGTGGGTCGGAGAGCTGAACAATGTGGTAGGAATTGTTCCAAGTAACCATCTCATGCCTGCCTATGATTTGGAAGAATGAGGAACAGCAGAACAAGGTAAGGAAAATAAGGAAAGCAGTGCTTATAGTGCTATGCTTCAGCTTTGATCATGTCATTCTGGATGATTCTCCTTTGCAAGATGCTTTCCATGCTCTGTCATAAGTTCCATTTATCTCTTTGAAGCACTAGAATTTTCCAGTGAACTGTTCCATGGATCCAATAGTTTTTTCAGATCCAAACTTCACATTTCATTAACTACCACTGCTGTCCTAAAATCAGGACCTCAATGTGGGTAGAAGGCAGTTCTTTAAACACTTTGCACTAGACTGTAATTCCAATGAAAATTCATATACGCCCACAGAGTCCTAGTGGGAAAATGCTGTTGATAATCAAAATATATTCCTTCACTCCCTGGAAATGATTAGTATATAACAGCATTCCTAACCCAATTAGACCAATATATTCTATACAATATATTGTCTGGTGGTAGCTATCCAGAATTTTCTAGCTCAATTTGGTTAAGACTGAATTTGGATTTTCTAGATGCAGAGCATGTGACCACTGAGTATGATTTCTTCATAAGTTATGTTGTGGCGCCACTTGAATTTCAACCTCCCTCCCCAGTGGTTCATAATTTATAAGCACATAATAATTGTAGGTCTGTATTTGTAATATGTAGTATGACCATACCTTTGCAGCATGTAATAGGATCTGAAATCCTTTAATAGTAGTGGCTGCCTTATCTTTTTCAAAGTAAGGCAATATAGAATGTACACGGTAGAACATATAGCCTCACAGAAGGAATGATTAAATTAGCTACTTAGGCTTTCCCTCTGCATTCTGGTATCGGCAATGTAAATACTGTGCCTCTGTCTTTAGCTGGTTACTAAACATTCTCTTGCCAAAGCTATTAATGCTTCATCAGCTTTCAGTCTTCCCTCAGGTACTTTACAGTAAAGTGAACAACGCTTAAGAGACTTGAAAGACATAGTATAATGTTTTAATAACTACCAAGAGGTGGTGCTAATAGTAAACTATGTTTGTAAGAAACATGACCCAGAGAAAAGAAGTGGCCTAGAATGGTGGACATTTGATAAGAAATTACTGAATTAAGGCTAGCCAGTTGCACATCTGTTTTCTGTTGACAATCTGGTTTCAAGATTCCTTAGATACTGCGGAGTTACAATAACATTGTCTTCCACTACTGAGAGAAAACACTTTGTTTCTTTTTTAAAAAGACTTGTTCTACTTAGAAGGAGCAAATTATTGACTGTCAACTAAAGAACTGACCCTGATTAATCAAGTCTAGTGAAGAGCACCATGTAAATCTAAAAACTTGCCTCTATTCTCATTAATAGAAACTGGCTCAATATAAGTGATTGATCACCTTCCTAATCACATATGTCTTCTAGAAAATTCAGATATGTCTACAATTGCTTTATAAAAGAGATAAGTCATGATTAGAAGGGAGATTGTATACTTACCAAGTGCTGAAAATTACCCTGAAGTGGAAGTTCGGGCCATAATTCCAGATATTCTGGAATGGCTGATAGATAAGAAAAGAATGCTATCCATGCTCAGAAGTATAAGCACACTTACTGTATTGCACAATCCAGATCCAAATCTTGGCACTGAAAAGAAATTCTGGACCTAAATTTTAGTCAGTTATGGTTCAGTTGAACTTTGATTTCTTTGGCTTTGCATTATTAAGAACAATTTTTTCCAGTCCAGGAGGGAAGGCCAGAATCCAAACATGGAAAAGCCATAACCTCTTACTGTTTTTCAGTTTCAGTTTGAATTAAACCAGGAGGAATATTGTCTCTGGCTCCATCTTCTGGCCTCTTTTCTTTGCAGAAGAGAGTCAGAAAGTCCCCATGTTTGGAGAAATAATTGAGTATTGAGATAGACCTGAAAAGAGTCTAGTAAGTCCCAAGAGACACTCAAGTATCAGTGTCCACAGTGGATGGAAGAGGGCAAGAGACAAAACATGAATCATGTCAGATGTTGGGATACAAGTACACAAAGGCAGGATTCGCATTGTGTCATGACCATGTGCCTTTTGTTTTTAGGTTACATTGGTTTGTTGCATTTTTGTGGCCTGAAGATAGAATAATTGACTCTGCAATAATTCTAAAAAATATATTAAAAAATAGGGAGACATAAAGAATAGCAGTTTCAAAGGTCCATTAAAAATGTTATTGAATGTGCTCAACCTGTGACAGGGATACTACAATTAATACTGGCAATTGGGATCTGTAATGTTCCTGGACAGGAGAGGGTTCTGTAGAATTGACTGTGGCATAGGATCGTAAGTTCTTCTCTCTGTTCTCAATTTGCTAGCCTAAGAATTCAGACCACTACCTTAGGAGTCTACCTCATATCTGCTTTCACGTACATTCTTCCTGTCCTATAGAGTTCCCCAATCTTTCTAGGTTTCCAGACCAACAGGAAGGGGAGAGGGAATGATTCTGCATGAGCAGCCGAGAAGCATCTGCGCACATGCAACTTCATTTACGTGAGTGGTGGGAACACATGCTCACTGCTCAAGCAAATGGAGCATGCACATATGCTCGCCTGTCACTTCTGCGGCCCAGTTCCAAATGGCTTAAGGCCCAATAGTTGGCCATGGCCTGGAGGTTGGGGACCCCTGCTCTAGACGGCAGAAAATAATGTTGATACATGCTTTGCACTGCCCCCCCATGACCAAATTTTAGAGAGTCTCAACAATGAGGCGTGTTCTGTGCTTACAATTAAAGGTCAACAACTTGTGAATTCTCCAGTTTCATTTCTTCTCACACTTAAGAGTCACTTGCCAACAGAAAAAAATACCCCACTAACTGCATTTTTAATGTAAAATGGGACAGGGTTGGGTGACTATGGATGGGTATCTAGAGTGAAAGGGTTTAGCCCAGTGGTGGGATTCAAGTAATTTAACAACCGGTTCTCTGCCCTAATGATTTCTTCCAACAACCAGTTCACCAAACTGCTCAGAAAGTTAACTACTGGTTCTCCCAAAGTGGTGTGAACTGGCTGAATCCCACCCCTGGTTTAGCCACCATTTCAAATATGGCAGTCCGTACATCAGAGAGAATGTTACAATCTCCAGAATTATATTTACATCTGCATGGAAAAGTTTGATCAGAATCTGAGCATGAAATAAAAATGTTCTAGAGGGGTCAGCTGGACATAAGCATCAGCGCAGCACAAGTGGATGAAGGAGATCTCTCTCCACATCTCCAGCAGAGCTGGTGAATGACCAAGGAGAATTTGTGCAATATTGGGACTGGCTCACCTATAACAACAATGCTCATCCCCTACAACTGCCATTAAAATAAAAAACAAAAAGGTCCTGATTTGACCATGAAGCCCAGATTTGACCCGAGGTTCATGGCAACAAAAAATGGGATATAGGTCTGTCTCGGTGGTGGATTGCTATCGGTTCGTCCTGGATCGGGTGAACCGGTAGCGGTGGTGGCCGAAGGCTCCGCCCACTCACCCAGATGCTTCTGTGCATGTGCAGAATTGTGCGCACACTTGCGAGTGAGTGCACCCACAAGCAAACCGGTAGCAACGGGTTTTGAAATCTGCCCCTCATCTTGCAGTAAGCAAAATTATCCACCAGCTGCACAAGGTAATGAAACTATTAACTAGCAAGGCTAAGTAAAGCCCCTTATCAGAAGATCAGTGATTTTTTACCAAACTGGTAACAAATAGCTGGTAGTATGCAGTCCCCTTTCATGCTTTAGATAAACTTTTTTTTATGAAGAGAGTGCTAGTCTATTTTTTAAAAACAAGGTTCTGTTGTTCCTTCAAAGGGCCACTAAACACATTTAAAACCAGATATATTTTTCCAGAAAAACAACAGATCTATGTGGGTTAGAAACTTATGCAGGGTGAAACATAACTACAGTCGTGGGCTAAATCAGTGGTGGGTTGCCCCCGGTTCGGACCGGTTTGCAAGAACCGGTAGTAAAACCAGCAGGAAGCCCCGCCCACCGCCCCGGATGTCGTCATCCGCGATCTGCGCATGCGCAGAAACTTCCTGTTGCGAATCAGTAGTAAAGGTAAGTAGAACCCACCCCTGGGCTAAATGTATGAGAAAGACCATGAATGATCAACCTACCTGTTATGAATTCCTTTTCCATATTATATATTTGTTCTTCGCAAATGAATATTCAAATTGATTTTACATTTATTCCTAGATTATGTGCATTTCTCTTTCCATCTCTTTGCTTTGTCATCACAATGAAGATAATTCCTGGGACCTCTTGGCTATTCACAAGAAACAGATGCACACCTGCAGAAGTTGAATCCATCAATCCTTTGTCCCCCTTTATATGAAAATATAGCGCTTTTGTCCCTTAAACTTTAGCCATTGTGTTTTTTCATTCTCCTGGAATTTTAGTCACAGCTTACAGTCATCAGGCTGTATACTGTACTTCTGATTTGTCACGATCATTTCTGTTTTCTCAGAACTATCAAAAAGTCTAAAGGATGTCTTGCTGATATTCCAGAATAAATACAACTGTCACTTTCAGACTGGAAAGTGTTTATTATGCTGAAGTGTTGCTTTTTAATCAGCTGGTCAATTTTTATTGTAGCCAAGGGCCACAACACACCAGCAGTGAATATAATTATTAGAATAAAATACCCAAATACAATGACTGAAAAGGAAGAAATTTAATTCAGATCAGAGAAATGCTCAGGGTCATTTTCAATAAATATAAGTACGAACAAAGTTTAAAGGCAATCTGCTTGGGTGTATGTTTGGTTTTTTAAAAATTCAACAGAATCTTTAGAATAAAACTATAGTCAACATTTTCCTGCCCGTAAAATTGGATGTAATTGTTGATAATACACAGTTCTTAAACTGAAAAAAAGTTTTTTTAGTGTTGTTATTCCTTATGCCGTTTATTATTCAGTTTACACATGTACTCTTATCTTTCTGTAAATGTATCTAAGATAATAACAGTAAAATTCAAAATAAAAGTGTAACATCAGAAATAATTTTACCTTTTACATTTTCTTAATAATTTAAAATTTTAATTTTAAATAATTGAAATATATATAAAAATAAAATAGCTTAGTTAAAATAATATTAACATTAAAATGCAAGTTACAAACATAGCACAGCAGAAAAAAATAAAGGAGTTAAATGTGTAAAACATCAATTTATATAAAAGTGAAGTAGTGTTTTTCAAACTTGGAAACTTTAAAATGAATCAATTTCAATGCCCACAATTCCCCAACAGCATGCTTTGGAATTTTATGTATGGATTTTATGTATTTCATGCTGGCTGGAGAATTCTGGGAGCTGAGGTCCACACATCTTAAAACTGCCAAGTTTGAAAAATATTGAAATACAGTAAATCAACCTCTCTTGATAAGGAATTCCAGAATCTGACCATAGCTGGTAAATTCTTTTTTCAATTTTCACCAAACACACATCTCATAGTGTCAGGAAAAGAATATTTTTGTGAAATTTTGAAATACTGACAAGTTTGCACTGTATGGCAGAGAGGCTATCCTCTACATACTGTATTTTTCGGACTATAAGACACACTTCTCTCCCCCGCCCAAGTGGGTGAAATGTCTGTGCGTCTTATAGAGCGAATATTTTGGATGGGGGGAGGGGTTGGTGCAGTGCCAATCAGCTGTTCTAGGTGGTGGGAATCGCTGCTGCCACCTATCGCCACTGCCCATTTGCCGTCGCCCGTTTACCCCCACCCATTTGCCACTGATCACAATCACAGGCGGATAGACGACAGCGAACAGGTGGCACTAGGTGGCGGTGAATGGCCACAGTGGCAAACGGGATGCAGCGGCAAAAGGGCCACGGCGGCAAACGGGCCGCAGTGGTGAATGGGCCACGGCAGCGAATGGATGAATGGGCTGCAGTGGCGAATGGGCTGTGGCTAGTAACAGGCAGCGGCAGCAAACAGGCGGTGGTGATAAAGTGCTGAAGCTGACCACGCTGTTTCCTGTTTGCTGCAGGGATGCTAGCCAGATGAATCCCGGATGGATACTGGGAGGCATAGGCAGATTTTTTTTTCTTGTTTTCCTCCTCTAAAGCTAATGTGCATCTTATAGTCTGAAAAATACGGTAATTATCACTGCCTTACAGTTAACTGCCTATGCTGACCTTCAAAGGAATTTATGCATATACGTCATGCTTTCTCTCATATATACATACATATCCAGAGAGATTTTTTTTTCTTCTCTGCAGCAGACATGGTTACTTCTGATGTTCACCCCAAGCAGATCATAGCTCTCAGGCTTAGCAGAATTGGATTGTAAAAATCTGAACCATCACCAGATGGAAGCAAAGAGTTAACTTTTTCTCTATATCTTTTATGTCAGTGGTCCCCCAACTTTGCAGTTTGGTGGCTCGGCTGTGGAGGTAGAGGGGAACCGAGTTGTGTGAGGGGGGGGCGGGACACACGCAGTTCCATTCACATCAGAGAGAAGAGAATGCTTTGGGGCGCAGTCTAAGCTACTTCAGGCTTCTCCATGCCAAAAGCGAAGCTGAATAGGATACACTCATCCCCTCAATCTACTCTCACCACTCTGTTTTTGGAGCATTGGGAACTGATTGCTTGGTTGCTCGGCTGGAGGAGGAGAGAGGAACTGGGCTGCATGAGCAGTGGACTGGCACGCATGCACACGCAACTACACTCATGCAAGGGAGAAGCCCTTATTGCACTGCTTGCGTGAATGTGGCTGTGAGCACCGGCACCTGCCATTGGTGTAAGTGGGGCTACACACACGCTGGACCACCACCCACGCAGCCCAGTTGCGAATAGGCCACAGCCCGGTAGTGTGCCATGGCCCCCCCTGTTTTATGTCACCTAAAGGGATCTTCCAGATCTGCAACTCATAATTGCGAGTTCAAGGCAAGATGTTTGAATAAACTGTGTTATACACAATTTGAGGCAAACAGTGAAGGCAAACATCCTCAATGGATGTGACAATCCATTGCTTTTTTTTTTTAATTGCTAGATTAATAAATAAGTAAATATATTTGGACAAAAATATAATTTTGTTAAACCTTCTGTTTTTATTCCAAAATCAAATGAAACCCCAAAGTAATCTGGCTGCGTGCAAAATATAATTGCAGCCAGTTCCTATCAGGTTTATTTTCTAAAAATAAAACTGGGATTCCCAGTTTGTTTAGAAGTCATATTCTATCCCATGGGAATTCAACCATTATGGTTAAAGATTAGCTGCACGTATTTGGTAATAAAAGATATGTACTATGTGCCCGAAGACACTACTTTTCTTCACTGTTGCCTCTAACTTTCTCATTCTAGCTCTAAGTCCACACATAGTTATGCATGAATGCAAGATCTAAATAGGTTACAGATGCCTTAGGTATTTTTCCCTCCCTACATCTAGATATATGGTAGTCTTTCTTGTTTTAAGAAGGCACACTGCTATGCAGTTCAGCTGGGGACACAGAGAAGGCTGTGCAATCGCAGTCTGGAAACACAGAGTCTGGCACAATGGCTGTGGAAGTCCATTGTTGCAGTAACCATGGGTGCTAATCTGTGACAATTGAGATTATAAAGGGGACAGTTCCTTACCTGTCTAATTTTGAATCTGGCAATATGCACTTTATTGAATTGTGTTTGAACTGGGAAAGCAGAGTTAAGGGAGTGAAAAGTATCTGTCACACAGAGAATCCCCTAGCTGGCCTGTCTCTGTTTTCCAGGTATATAGGTCATGAAAACCACAAGATGGCGGTAGCTAACTGCTCAGCTAAGGTATCTGAATTCCCACTGGAAAAGAATGGGAGGGGGGCATTCCACACTCCCCAGGGATCATGGTACCTGGAAAATAATTAACAGATGCTAAATAAAGTACTGTATTTTTGAGTTCTGGGTTAACAAATCCAGTATACAAAATCCAAAAAGCTGCAAACTAAGTATAGTTTGCATACGTTAGTTGAAATGCATGGCAAATTTGTACTTTGCCCATGTGCAAATTTGCATTCTTGGTGGCTCAGATCACATTAATTGGGAAAAGGAGCAGCTAAAGCACATTTGTTTCACTCAAATATTAACCAATGGTATTAATCAGCAGAGATACATAGATGATAGATAAGATGATAGAGGTAGAAGAAGGATGGAGACATGATAAGACAGACAGACAGATGGACAAATGCATAGATGGATGATAGGTGGATGATAGGAACCATCACCATGTCAGAAACTATCCTTCTAACCCCGCTCCATCCAGTGGTGGGATTCTATCGATTCGGACCAGTTTGGCTGAACTGATAGTTCCCACTTCCTGCTGAGAGCGAACTAGTTTTCTGTTGCTGTGAAAGTGGGCCCGCCTGCCCCTGGGTTATACTAACCTTTATTTCTGCTTCTGAAGCTCAGCTGATTGGGGGCGGCAGATTGAATTAGCCTTCCTCAGCTGTTTTCCTTGCTCCTTTCCTTGTTTGCAATGCGGAAGTTTAATTTTATGGAAACTGTGCATGTGTGCAAAGCGTGCACTCAGCGAACTGGTTTCCCCCCTGCCTCCATCCAGTCTCAACTGTTAGTACCAATCCTTTCACTCCCTCCCCACACCCCATCACAACTGATTAAGTTTCTTGGTTGAAAAGCAAAAAACTTCTTGTTCTTCAAGGAAAAAACAGTCCGTTTGCCTTTTGAAAAAAGCACCTTTGAGACAACTATGACCTGGATGACTTGGAATCTTCACAAATACCAAGAGCCTACGTTTGGAAAGTGATCCATGAACTGCCATATTTGATTCAGATGAAATGATACTTATGTTTTGTTTATATATGTGTGTAGAAGTGACTGCTACAGCAAAAGATTGCAGGATCCAATGCTACCATTCAAGATTCCAGTTATTTGTTCAGTCCTGTTCTCTTAACTTCTTCCCCTCCTTGCAACAGACTGAATTCCATAGACACACACATCACTGTGCTATTATTTTAGGTTCTGCTCTGCACTTTTTCTAAAAATTTGTGTAACTTCAGCATTCAGGGTCCTCCTTTCTCTTATGCATAAGATGAATCATACTTGCAATAAGCAGCATTGTTTATAATTTAAACACACAGAGATAATACTAGTATTATTCTAGAATACTTGAATAGACATATAGTTTTACAAATATTCCTCTAGGTTAACCTCATATCAGTGGTGGGTTGCTACCGGTTCTCCCCGGTTCTTGCGAACCAGTAGTGGAAATTTTGAGTAGTTCAGAGAACCGATAAATACCACCTCTGCCTGGCCCCGCCCCCAATCTATTCGCTGCCTCCCGAGTCCCAGCTGATCAGCTAGAAGGAAAAAAACTGTTTAAACTCTTGCCACGGCACTTCAAAGGGCCACCCTACAGCTGATCAGCGGTAAA